TTTTTATCAAGTCAATGAGCACTTCTGTGTTTCTGGCACCTGCAAATACTGTAAATAATGCTGTTCTGTCTTGTGGGAGTGCAGCTTTTAGGATAACCTTTTAAATTTGTTCTTTTGCTTCAGCATGTAATGGTGAGAGTGTCCCTATCATAAATCATAGTTAATACTCTTGATTTCGTTATTACATTAGTAGCTTCCCCTGCTGTTTTCCATGAAGATGTTTTAAGGGATAATATATTAGGTATAGGCCATCTTAATCTTCAGGCTGTTGCTACCCAAACAAAGATCTTTGTAAATTAAAATTATGTTCTCTAAATGCTCTAAGGTTTGATTCAATTTATCAGCTGGGGAATGGGTCTGAGTTGCATGATCTCTGCTCCTGTGAGGATCAGATGTGTCCTCCTTTGGATCATAAATCTAATAGCCACTGGGTTTCTGTGTCTAAATCAGTTTGTTGGGATTCCATTCTAATTTTCATCATTTGTCTAGCATAAGCTCTCTTTGGTAACTCTGATTGGTTCCATATTAGCATTTGTTGTAGTTTTGTGTATTCTCATGGGCCTAGCTTCTAGTAGATTAAAGTTATCAGTTTCAAAAGGTTTAAAGTAATCATTATCCTTGGGGTTTGGATTAGTGCCCTTAGGAGCAAAAGGGCTTGGGTTTATTCTCACTCTGAAGATTACTTTTTCTGCTAGCATCCTTTACTTTTTAAGCTAGCACTTTTCTTTTCTGCCCACAGGCATCCAGGTGACTTAATGCTTCTAATAAGAGAGCTGGAATTTGCCAGCATTTTATTTAGCACGTGGGAATTATAATAATTTTATAAGCCAATAGAGTACAGGATAATATATCTTAATAAACCAAATAAAGAAATAATATCTTCCAAATGATAGATTAGTCACGCTATTGTTCCAGGCAAGGGGAGATGAGAGGAATAAAGTCCAAATTTTAACAGAGGTGTACCTTTTTATAAGCGCAGGCACTCGGGAGAGAGATAGTATCTAGTTGCCAGGGAAAAAGTGAAAGTCCCCTGTTGCTAGAGCACACTGCTGTGGAGTGAATACTCCGGTGTTGGTAGGTGGGCTGATCTCTTTTATTAGGCCACTGGGAGGTTTCTCACCACTGTCTACAAGGAGTGCCTGGCCAACATGGGAGCTAGTGCCTCAAAGGTCTTTGGAGAGTTTTTAGGTTGGCAAAATGATGCCTCACCCAAATTAAAACTCTCAGTCTTCACCAGCTCTCAATATTTATAGTCTAAATGTCCCATCACCATACTTACTTTCCACATGCTCTTATCTACAGGCCCCCAGCAGAGCCCTTTAGCAGCTGGGCTGCTGACTGCTTTATCAAGGACAACAGATGTGGAACGATGACATCCTGACATGACTTACTTCATACTTGTATCAAAGCAACTTTTTCCTTTGTTATAAATAGTGGATTAAAACAGCTTCACTTAAGTCATAAACAAGTGGATTTGAAATTATATTAACCAATACACAATTTTAGCTAGAATATTTCAGTTGTTTTTGTAATTAAAATAAACTTAGTTAATCAATATCTTTTTTTCAACAATAAATATGTATAATTATGTTAACTGCAGTGTCATAAAAGAAATAATTTAAGGAATTAGAAATAGCTCAGCAATAAAAGAGACTTGATAATATTTATGACAAAAGCCTCAACCTGGAGGGTCTGTGAGAATTCTCACAGTCGTCATCGCGACAGCCCTACACAAAGAACTGTTCACAACAGAGCTGCATGGTTCGAACAGTGTCCCCTTAACTTCCTCTTCCCCTCTATTAAATACTTCCTCCATCTTTGTCCATTTTAGTATGCACACATAAGTTTGTTATGCACTGCATGCACTGGATTGCAGTCTTTTCTTTTAACTGAATAAATCTTTTTGGTTACAGAACTCCTGGTTGATTGTTTTTCTAGTCAACAGACTCTACTGGAAATGAGAAAAGACATAAGACTTTACCTAACTTTACCTAATTGAAGGACTGTCATTATATAAGAAGTTAAATGGTCACTTTCAAGAGGTAAATTCTAACTCAAAATAGAGAAGACTTTTTTAACCCAGAGCTGTTCAACAATGCATAAAACATGCTGCTGCCATTGTATAAAGGCTAAAGTGGCATCTTTTGTGAGACATTAACATCTAAAGCGCCTTAGTGAACCCTTGATAGTCTGGTTTAGTAAACATTGACATTGACCCATTACAATCATACTTGTGGCAAATTGCTGAGTGGTCCTCAAAAACCAAGGTAATAGCAGAATCTCTCCCTATTAAACACTTTCACATTTAGTGTAATGACAGGATGAATTCACTTGCATAATATTTTGTTTCTTGTGTCAACACAAGGACATCCAAACCTGTAGAGAATTTTTATAAGAGTTTATTTAAGCCAAGCTAAAGACATTTGAGCAAAACCTCAAATGCTCTGAGGAATGGGTAATAACAGTTTTGCAGCCTCTTTTATGCATTTGAAATCGAGGAGGAAAAGTAGGAAGATTATTTGAAATCAAGGGGGAAAGCATGGCAGGGATTGGATTATGGGATAGATTATGTGCTTTCCTAAATGTTACAGTTTATTTCAAAAGGGTGTTAACCTAGATGCAGCACAGAAACAATGGATGCGGCTTGCTTAAGGCAAAGATAAACCTTGCTAAAAAGTTATATGCCTGGGGCATGACTACCCACTGTGATCTGCCTCATTAGAAATTTATGATCAGATCACCCTGTGAGGTTATTTTCCTTAGAACCCTTTTTTTGTCTACATTTGTAACTATTTACTTCCCTCTTTACCTTCCCTCCTTTATTCTTTTTTACTTCTTTGGTTGAATTCTGGTAAGTTGAAATGCACATATGATGCAAAACCACTTTTTACCAATATCCTAGAATCTTTCAGAAAGGATAAATAATAAACCTAACAGCAATCGCCTCTTGGGAAGTGTGATTCTAGAGTGAGGAGAAAATCCACCATACATTTCATATCTTTTTAAGTTCTTTACCATGTCCTTATATTTTTTGTTAATTACTAATCCTCCTAGTTTAATAGTCCTTCTGAAGGACTATTATGTAATAGATGAGTAAATCTATTGATTGGTAATGAAACTATTATCCAATTTTTTATGATGAAAACAAAAACTTACAGAAGAATGAAAATAGTACAGTGAACACCCACAACTTTCATCTTGACTCAACAATTTTGCTACCATTTTGTCTTTTTTGCTTTATATCTATATGTATATATATTTATAAATATTTTTTGCAAAAGTATTTGGAATAAGTTGCCAAGATTATGATACTTTATGCCTAAATACTTCAGCATGCATCTCCTAAGAATAAGGTGTTTTTGTTTTTACTTTTAATTCTGATGAGGTTTAGGTAGTCAGACACCTAAACTAGTAGTGGCACAGTACGATCTGTGTTCTTAGTGATGGATGGAATTCCGCTGCCCAGCCAGGCTTTTGGTCAAATACTGTATGTAGTAAGATTAATCCCTGACGTTTGTCTAATGCATAACAATTTATATTCTCTCCTTCCTTGATTCATTAAACTATATAACACTCCTTTGCAATCAAATAATGTCTCCTAAATTTACATTTAAGTAAGCTGAAGCTGAGAGAGGAAAATGAATTGCTTAAGAACATTCAAATAAATAGTAAGTGAGAAAGTCAGAGCTGGACTCTAAGCCTCCTGACACCAAAATATTTCTTCTAGTAGAAGAAACACCTAATGTTTTTTTCTACTAGAGTAGTAGTTGTCAGACTGATTTCAGAATTCCTTTATATGCTTTAAAATTATTGAGGTCCTCAAAAATCTTTTGCGTGTATGAGTTATATCTATTGATACTGTATTAGAAATTGAAAATAAGTTTAAAAATATTCATTTATTCCTTAAGACATATTATGTGTTAACATAACATTTTTTACGAAAAATAACTATTTTCCAAAACAATGCTTTATTGAGAAGAGTTGCATCATTTTACATTTTTTGCAAATCTCTTCAATGTCTGCTTTAATAGCTGGATTTTCAGAGCTGCTTTGCATTCATCCTGCTATGACATGATATCATGAGTCATGTAGCCTCTAAAAACAGTTCACTATGCCTTTGTGGAAGAATAAGAGTAGAAAAAGCTAATAAGATCTTAGTATTATGAAAATAGTTTTGACCTCATAGACCCCCTGAAAGGGGGTCCCAGGAATTCCTCAAGTCTCACACTTTGAGAACCTCTGTATCAGGGCATTCACTAAATGGCTATGAAATAATAAGCTCTAGTAATATTAAAATTCCTGAAATGACATCCTTAGAAAAGAGGCTTATAATCAATGTGCATTATTATAAAGGCATAGTCATCGAAGTGGGTCTCAGGTTTTGGATTCCCTAATATCAGCAAGGGGTATAGGGTCACTGTTTGCAACTTTATTTGATAGCTGACATTTTTTAATACTAAGGCAGCCCTGTTGTCTGACATTTTGTGGGCAAGCAAAGCTCTGGTAACTTCCGATGAGAAGTATCAATCTTAAGAGATAAAGAAATGATTCTAGCACCAGAGTCTAGCAGGAGCTCACCAGCCTTCTGCCTGGACTTTTGTCCCAGTCCTACCACTTCCATTTCCATTTGTTGTAAGGTACTCAGTCCAAAATTAAAGTTATTATATTAGCTGGTTGGCACTATAGAAAATGATCCTCGTACTAATGCATCCAGTTTGGGGAGACTTGAATATCCAAACTATACCTAATGTTGGTGAGCAGCGTGTCTTTAATAATCCCCCAGTTTTGTAACATTTGTTATTGAGGAAACACTGGAACTCAAAGAAAACTCAGGTTCCACTCTCGTTTCCCCCATCCTTAACCTTGAGAACACCAAGTGGGCTGATTGGAGGTTGGCATCTGGCACTGTCGAGACACTGTATTGGCTTGCCGTGGTATGAGGGAGCCAATGAGAGAGCGTCTCTGAAGGGGGCGGGGCATACAAAAGGAATTGAACCGGAGCTGTGGGCCAACTGCGAGCAGTCTTGTCCTGCTTCTCGCCTACATGGGGTTTTCTCTTCCTTCAGATCCCAGCCCAGGTTCAAGTGATGGCGCCCAGCCTGACGAGGGCCCTGAACAGATTGCACGGCCCAGGAACCAAGAGGATGAGTTTCCATTCCAGGAAGTGGCTCCTTTTCCACAATTGCCGTGCAGATTTAGATTTAAGTACTTTCTGAAACCATCAATGCTTCACGTGGAAGCGTGTCTGCTGGAAAAGATATTCGGTAAGTGCGCTGGAATCTTTACCACTCAGCCCCAATGTCATCTCCAGTGCCCACCCTGAGCCACCCACCTAAGTCAGTGTCCAGTGTCCTGCAGGCCAGGGATGTCCTTCCCCACGCCTCTTAGCCTTGCCCCATCCCAGCTAATCCCTTACTAACCGTCTATTCCACACAGGTCCAAACAGAGCACTCCTCCCAGCATTCGAACGGGAGTTCAAAGTCCTGCTACAGATTGGCGATCCGGACCCGGAGGGCAAAGTCGAAATCAATATCTTAGGGAGTCACTGGTACAAGAAGCGTGCCAAAAGGCTGATTCATACCTGGACAGCAAAATCCCAAAGGAAACGGTATGGAGGTAAGGAGCTTCACTTGACAAGGTTCTAGGTGCTGCAGATCTAGGTTGTGCTAAGGGAACTTTCACTTCCACAACTCTTCCTCAAGACTGGGGCTTGGGGCTTCTTCACAGTTGTGCTAAGGGAACTTTCACTTCCACAACTCTTCTTCCTCAAGACTGGGGCTTGGGGCTTCTTCACCTGGTGGGATGTTAGGACCTGGGTTTCCAAAGTAATCATGGAAGCCCTGGAATAAGCCACTGTGGGAAGCAGCTAGAAAATCCAAAGTAAGGCTTAAAGAACTCTTAGCTAAGCCCCTTCCCACCTCTTTGCCCATCTGAATCTCCTTTTTCAGAGGTTGGGGAGGACTCTATCTGGCCCCATTTTCTGAGATAAAACTCCAGCCTGGGAGGTGTGTACTCAGTGATTCTCAGGCTTAGAATGAACCCAGGAGCACTGTAAAAATGCAGATTGCCCAGCAGGACCTCCTCCCCACCCCACCTCCCACCCAGGGGATTAAGCAAACTGGTAAACTACTTAGTCCTCATCTATAAAATGGGTTTAGTGATGGCAGCATACATACAGATTTTTTTCCAAAGATTAAACGAATATACCAAAACACTTAGAATACATAGAAAATGCTTGATAAATATGAGGTATCATTATCTTATTGGGTGTTTGGATGATTCTAATGTAGGTGGTCTGCTAAGCAGGGCAGCCTCCAGTGTTTTCTGTGGAGTCATTTTTCCTGTGAGTTTTGTATGTTCTCCTGAACAGTACACATGCTTTCATGCTTTCCTTCCAGGCGCAGTGATGTTCAACCTAGAAACTATGAAGTATGTCGAAAGAGAGAATGTTCATTCCAGTGCTTTTTCAGCCACAGTGATGAGAAGGCTGGATGAAGCCATGCAGTCACTGAAAATAGGTCAGGAGACTGTCCAGGAACCTGTTCCCAAAACAATATGACCGTTGTGATTAGGCCCTTAGTGCAGGGACTTTGGTCTGGGTCAGGAGCCTTGGCCTAAGAGGCCTGGTCTGAATCCTGCCTTTGCTTCTGTGACTAAGGGGCAACAACTGTTAGTGCTGTACACCCCTTCTCCATAGACACTCGTTTAAAGATTCAAATATGTGTTATAAATAAAATTTTTAAAAGATATATATGTATTATTAGTACTAATTATTGAAAAATCTTCTTTGCTTGCTCCAAGGTGGAAAAAGGCTAATAATTACAAAAGAACAGTTCTGCTTTTCATGGTGTTTTGTACTAGGTAGGTGCAGGTAGGATCTTGCTATACATAAGGAAGATCATTACTGTTTATTCTTTCATTAGTGCTAATTTTGAAGAAAATGTTTCATTGATAAACAAGCTTTATAAATCTAATTTTAAATGTTGAAACAAACTGATCCCATTCTCCTTAGCTTTTAATTGAGTCTACTGTGTTTGTCTTTTTTTATAGTTTAAATAGCAAAACACATACTATAGTGAGTATGAAATTTATTATGACTATATAACAAAAGCATCAGTATGTGTTTCTTCATTATTCCTATAACATATGTAGAATAGCTTTCCTAGATTAAATAATTTTGTTTACTTTTTTCAGAATATTACCATAAAAAAGGTAAAAATCTCAGCCCAACTGAGGTTGCATATTCTAGTTCACTGACAGTTACTTTTAGTTCAGCTCTAAAGACCTAAATAGGTCAAACTTGTCTCTATCACCTTTTTGAATTTTAAGATATCATTTATTAAGCATTTGGTATGTGCCAGGTTCTGTTGAGTGCTTTACATACATTCGACTTGATCTTTATAATAAATTATGAAATCATAATAATCTTATGAAAATGGATATGATTACTCATTTTACAGATCAGGAAAGGGCAAAGTGGGACCATCAAATAATGTGTGTTCTGCCTCTTTGTCACACTAGGCTATAAACTCTTTAATGGCATTAAGGATGATGTTTCCATTTTCTTTTACCCTTGAGGCCCTACACACAGTTAAACACTGGATTGTTGACTATTACAGTGATTGTCATACTTATCAACCAGTTAGTCCTAGTTAATGCAAATAATGGCATTAATAAAAAACCACATCTACCATGTGGCCATTTGACTGTATATGAATCCCTGTATATGCTGTTAAATATCAAAAAAAGTCCCTGCTTAAGTTTCATATTAATAATCAAGAAATGTTTTTTCTCCATTACTCTCAGCAATAATAAAGGACCCCAGATTCTCTTAAGCCTAAAGAACTGAGGGAAAAAACTTTGCTGCTGGGATTTTAAAAGCCTATGGCAGTAGGTTCATGGGGCCCACCCAGACAGGTCTTGGGGTATGGGGGTGGCCAGGGTTAGTCACTAGCCCAAAGGCACAGGGTAGATAAGCAGGAGGCTCCAAGGGAGCTTGGCTGGACTCTGGGTCATGTGACATGGGGGAAACTCTAGGAGAGAAAGGCCAGGCTTCACCTTGGGCCTCGGCAATGAGCTGCAACCTGCAAGTGTAAGGCCTTTGAGGACCACCCAGGCATAAATGTGGAGAGGTTCTCTGTACAGTAGTCCTCCCTTATTCACAGGGGATATATCTCAAGGCCCCAGTGGATACTTGAAACAGTGGACAGATAGTACTGAACCCAATATATACTATGTGTTTTCCTTTACATACATTCCCTTACCTTTTCACTTAAAGAAAGCATTTTACAGCTTCTATTGGACACATCTGAATTGCCAACATCACTACTCTTGGGCTTTGAGGTCATTATTAAGTAAAATAAAGGTTACTTGAACACAAGCACTGTGATACCACAGTAGTCAAACTGATAGCCCAGTGGACAGTCAACCTGATAACTGAGTCAGCTACTGAGTGACTAAAGATGTAGCCTGTATAGTGTGGAGATGCCAGGCAAAGGGCTGGTTCACATCCTATGTAGGACAGAGCTGGACAGCAAGATGTTTTATCACACTAGTCAGAATGGCATGCAATTTAAAACTTATGAATTGTTTATTTCTAGAATTTTCCATTTAATATTTTTAGACCGTGGCTGATAACAAGTAACTTAAATCACGGATAAGGTAGGGCGAGTGGCGGGGATTAACTGTAACATTCAGCTCACCCATGATTAGATAGACTCAGAAATTCTGATTTTAGCTAGTCTTAATCCAGGGCAGCTCTCAGATGCTTTGGGACCCTACTTACTACCTGGGACCTAGAGTCTCAGAGACTGCACCCCCACCCCCGCCACAGGAGGTGTTTTTTTCTGCACTGTCATATCATCTTTGTAGATGACCATAGGGCTCTGTCCCCACTGGCACTAGGAGCGACATTGCTCCATTTCCATCTATAGGTCCAAGGCCACCTTCTCTCTGGCTCACCTCACCCTCATCCCTCACCAACTTCTGCCTGGCTCCTGGGAGTTTGGGGGAGGAATTGACTGACTTCCAGCTGGAGCTGCCTCGGCTCCATTTCATAGTCAATATTCACTTGTTATATCCTTGGGACTTTAGTTTGTTTCTCCCCTTAATGACATAAACTTTGCTTGATAAGTGCTTATCATTATATTTCTTTGTCATTTATGTATTGACTTCTATTAACGTAACTGAAAATTTCTGTCTTGTTTGCATTTTATTTAAATTAGAATGGTCAGCTAAAGATTCCTGTCCCAGAAAATGAGGGATCCAATTTGCATGGTAGCTGTTTTTTTAGGACATTGGACTGATCCGTTATTATTCTGAGGCACTGTTGAACTCTCTTTCCATTTTGTTCTTCTGTATGTAATCATTGTTGCTCATCCTTCCTGTTCTTGGTATAATTCCTACTTTTTCCATGTTCCTTTGGCCTATTCAGTTTAGATTCAGTTTAAATCTACCCTTCTCTACTTATATAAAGAAAATGTGAATATTTATATTTGATATATCTATACGTAATAGAAGAAATAATACCCTGATATTTACCATCCTACTGATTAAGAACGATTAAACATATCCACTTATGTTTCTTATTTATGACTTAAATTTGTACATTAACTTATCACTTAGGTCATGATTAAGAATGGGAGGCTGCAAGATTGGAAAAACATCCCTTCTAGGTTCTTTGGCTAGTCTAATAATTAAAGTGACATAAGACGGTGTTGGGGCCCAGGGCAGGCCACCCTAGATAACCCACAATGCATATTGATTATTTCAAATTATATTTACTTGAGAAATCTCCCTTGCAAGAAGAAAACCCTGATCTCTGTCTCCCTAAAAGCAGGAGATAAATCTATGTGTCCTCCCTGCTCAGCTTCTCTATAGGTATCCTGAGGCCTGAAAGACAATCTTATCACAAGAGTTGAAAGAATCCAGAATCAAAAGTTTATATAAACAAGCCTTATAAGGCTTTTACTAATTTACAGCCCAAACCCAAAATTTGTTTAGATTCCTCACTAACACCCAAACCTTGCTTAGATTTCTTTCTAATGAGCACTAAATTTCTTTGTCCTGTCAATTTCTTACAAATGTATTGTTTGCCTGACAAGTATAAAATGGTGCCGGGTTCGATCATTTCTTTGAGCCTCATTTTATAATCTGAGCATCTGCTGTGTATTGGTTTAATATGATTTCAAATCCACTTGTTTAAGACGTAAATATTGTTTTAAGTTGTTTTAACCACTTGTTTATGACAAAGTTGTTCTAATCTACTTGTTTATGACAAAGAAAAAGGTTGCTTTGACAAAAGTATGAAGTTGTCAGGATGTCATCATTCCTGTCATTATATTGCTTTGATATAAGAATGAAGTAAGTTGTGGCAGGATGTCATCAACTCATTTATTGTCAGTGATAAGCCGTCAGCAGCCCAGCTGCTGAGGTGCCCACAGGGGGCTTAGCAATAAGAACACGTGGAGAAGCAAGTATGGCAAGGCAGCATTTTGACTATATGTAAACACTGAGTTTGTGAGAACTATTTGAGAGTTTGGGTTTGGGCGAAGCCATTCTTCCCTAACTTAAAAATGTCCAAAGACTGTTGGGACATTTGCTCCTTTCTTGGTGAGGCACTCCTTATAGACAGTGGTGACAAACTGAGCAGCACTCCACAGAAGAGCCTTAGTTCCCTAGGACTTGTGGTCTAGCAACAAGGGACTTTGACTTTTGTGCTGGTATAGACAAGAGACTATTCCATGATGTGACCACTGCCTGGCCCATGAGCTGGACCCTGGACAGAGGGGGAGGTTGCTTCCACAAACCCTCTTGGAGACCGTCTGATCATAATCAGTGTTTGTTCTGACATAAATCAGCACCCCTCTTCTGCCTCCCAATACATGCTAGTCCCTGGAACAGGCCTTTGTCCTGACCTAGTCAAGCAAGTAATGTAATTTCTTGTATCTGGTAACATTCACTCACTAGTACCTATGACTACCACCTTTTTACCCTATAGAATTAGTTGGCACCTGTTACTGGCACAGGGATCCAGTTCATCTTGCAGCTGCCCAAAACATACCCTATGTACGTTTCCCTTAACACACTCTATTAGTTATCAGACTGGAATGGCCAGTCTCTTTTCCCTCCCCTCTGCTTACACAGATTTTTGGTCCTGGGACCTTTTCTTTGGTCTGCAGGTACTAACAGCTGGCAGCTAGAAAGCAGCTCCTTGGTTGGTCAAGGACTCTCCAGAGTACCTGCTTACTCATATAGAAAGGTAAACCTCATATTAAATTTGGACTTTATTCCTCTCGTCTCCTTTTATTTGGAACAATAGTGTGATTAATCTGTCATTTGTTTGGAGTATGTTATTTCTTTATTTGGTTTATTAGAAGATATTATCCTGTATGGTATTGGCTTGTGAGATTATTATAATTCCCACAGCAAACCTGTGCTAAATGAATTTTAGTCTCTGAGCATAACTTTTGTTGCCTCCCCCAAACAAAAACAAAACAGCATCATATTGTGATTATCTCATGTACAGGTGTTAAATTATTTTTTCTCCTGTTAATCTAGTCTGGTGTCTATTTTATTATTAGTCTAGTCATAAGAACTATAGAAGGGTAAAGAGGGAGTAATTCTTCCCCACCCCAACAGCAGATTAACAGGAGAAAAACAAATTTTGAACATATGGGAGACCCTCCCCAAAATATGAGACTTCCCGGC